ACAACTCCCAGGATTCCATAGCATTGAGCCATGGCAGTTAAAGTGGTGTCAAACTTTATTAATTCAACAGTATAGATGTACACATGGTGTCCAGCCAGGGTTAACACTTGACAACTTCTTTTAGACTTCAAGCACTGAATCCATGCCGGAAGCACAAGCAGTTCTCTGTACCTGTAAACTGTATCTGTGTGACTCCTGCTTTTGGCTTTCCTAAAGCATTCTTTACTGACATTGTGGTGACAAATCTTTGTTGCCCTCCTTTCAGTTACTGTCAAGCTGTCACTGGCATCAATGGGTTTCCTTTGATAATTGAAGCACAAAGTCCCACTCTGTTTTCCTCTTCTCCCACTCTGCAGTATTGCCCATGGTAAACAAGAACATCAATTCTCTCATATTTTATGCTCTCTCCCTATTTCATAGTTAAGAGGACTCTTGTTAACATGAGGTAGATTAAATCACTTCGATCTAAACTGTAATACAAATAATGGTAGCCTGATTTAAAATTCTCCCTTGAACATGTTCAGTCTATTATTTAAGAAAAAATGCTGTTAGTTTCTAGACTTTATAATGTCCTATTTGCATAATCTGATTTGACAACCATAGGTTTTTCTCCCTCTTTCATCTTAGCAGCTGAAAAGGGTTCAGGTTAAGAACGGTGATGGTTGCTCTGAATTAATGTTCGGTGTTATAACTGAATTTCTGATGCAGGCTTATTTATATGCTCAATTTCTTTGTTCTGTTCACTGGGAAGGTTGGGCCTTTCCATACAACATTTGTCATTTTGGGTTTGAAGTGAATACTGAAAATGTTCAAACAACTGCCATCAAATGGGTTTGTAAATTCAGAGTGCATACTGCCTGCATTTAAAATGAAATGTGAAACAAAGCTGCATTGAAAATAATCGTGGTAAAGTGGAATCATACAAATTTGGATTTATTTTAATTTGTATGCTGCCTTACTGCATATAGTGTGCAGAGAAGCTACTAATTCTGAAGTCTGACAGTTTTTAAAAAAGTCAGATATGAACTGAAAAGTAGAAGACATTTTAAAACACATTAAGATGAACAATAGATCAGGTCAATTTGATGGGTAAAAAAAAGGTAAAGGTTTCCCCCTTGTCATAAAGTCTAGTTGTGTCCAACTCTGGAGGGTGGTACTCATTTCCATTTCTAAGCTGGAGAGCTGGAGTTATCTGTAGACACCTAGGTCTTGTGGCTAGCATGACTGCACGGAGTGCTGTTACCTTCCCACAGAAGCAGTACCCATTGATCTACTCACATTTGGATGTTTTCGAACTGTTTGGTTGGCAGAAGCTGGGGCTAAAAGTGGGGGCTCACCCCGCTCCCTAGATTCGAACCACCGACCTTTTGGTCAGCAAGTTCAGCAGTTCAGTGGTTTAACCCGCTGTGCCACCTGGGTCCTGATAGGTGTTGAAGGACAGTCTAAATATAAATCTTTCCTGATAGCAAAAGGGTGTCAAAATGAAGTCTGATCAGGACTCTTAATGGGAGCCTCTGTGGCACTGCCAAATATTCTTAAAAGGCCCAAGAAAGACCAATACTACTCCAGAAGATCTCATGATTAGTGCTGGAGGAGGCCATCCTTAATGTAGCCTGGGTCTAGGCAGTTCAGAACTTTATAGGTCACAACCATAATTTCTGATGGTTTCTGGACATATGGCCATGTAATATATTAAAACTGAGGAAGAAATGTAGCTTATATGATGCTCCCACTTTAGTGAGCTGTGGATAATTATTATTTTAATTTAAATCAATTAATTACAAATCCAGTGAATTTGGAAGATGTCACTTCTTCCAGGTTTTTCTTTATAGCTTGAAAAAAAAACCACACATACAGAAATAGAAGCGGCATTGAAGAGAGCCCACAGTCAGTCGTAATGGGGTTTGAGTAAATCCTATCAGTACAAGTTATTTCTTATGTAGAAGGCTATATATCTTTAAAATATCCACTTTATAATCTGTGCTGTCAAATTGTCTGTGGCTTTAATACAGTTCATCCCAAAGGCACATGGTTTGCATCTATAAAATGTTCATACCAGTAGCCATAACTGTGTCATTGGGATCATAGTGGGGGATAAAGGGTTGAAGACCTCCAGTCGCATGTTATTTTATTTGACCAGGTGTCTGTGCTATCTGTTTTGGGGCAGACTTTATATTCCAAGGCAAAATGAAGCAATAGGAATGGCCTCAGTTTCTAGTAGACCACTATTTTGAAATGCTACATAAAAAGTAAGATTGTAGAAAAGGAGCAGGGAACTGTACCATCTCCATGTTTTTCTTTGCAATATGAAAAATATAGCTGTGCTTGATAGAGCCCACAGATTGCAAAAGAGTTTTCTTTTTTTAGAAAAAATCGATTGATGAGATTAGAGTAAAGCCAAGAAGGATAGGTGGGCACAACTTCTCCACTTGAGAGGACACTTTCAGGTACATCTTATGTGTAGTGTTGTAGCTAATTTGTGCAAGGTGTTAAAGTGTAAGCCCATGTGCATGGAGAAAGCTGAAATGTGGTAGAGAATGGATGCGTGTCTAGTTCTTTCCACAGAGTTTAAGAACCTTTCCTCCACACATTTTAGCAAAGTTGAATTGATGAATAGCAGAATGGAATAAAAACGTAATCGACAAACACCTCATTCCAAAAGTTGGCAAGGAATTGGTGAGTGACTAGCTCGCATTGTAGCAAGAACTAGGTCAGTGAGAGCACCTTGCAATAATGTTAGTATAATGTCACGAGTGCTGAAAATAATTATATTATGGAATCTGAAGTACAGGGTGAAAAACAATACTGCTAAATATAGCACTCTGTACTCTATTCAGGTGCCCACTTTGTGTGCAAAGGTTTTGCATATATACAAGTGCTTTCAGTGCAACGGGAATTCCCATTATGTATATTTGAATCAGTCATGGTGCTATGGGCATCTGGTTTGATGGTCCCACATAAAATGTGTGAGTTCTCTTGCTGTGGAAAACAGGCCCCTAGGCAGCATTTCCTGTAGTGTGGGCAGAGTTGGGTATCATTAACCAATTCCCAGAATTTCTAACACATACTCCTTCAGTGGTTTATGTTTAAAGTCTCTCCCTCCATTAGCACTCCATCAGGAAAAAGTCCTATATGTTACACCAGTAAGGCAGACAATATATCTGATTTTATTTATAATGCACCCGTGAGCTCAGAATAGATAAATGTTTCCTTTATTTTGCTTTGCATATTAGTGCTATGCTGAGCATCAGGCTAAAATTTAGCTGCTAAGTATGGACAACAGCTGTGCACTATTGTGGCTGGCACTTCCAGTTACTGTAAGTGAAGTAGCATTACTCCTAGTTGCCTTTCCAGCCTTTCTAGTTTTGTTTTGTTATTTCAGGTGTGTGTATGTAAGGTGGAAGGGGGAAATATCATTTAATTGCCCTTTATAGGTTTTAAGTTTGTGTATGGGGGGGGGGGGGATGGCTGAAAAAAATGAGAATAGGGGTTTTGTGGAAATCCATTAAATCAAAAAAGCCATACTGGATCCCACAAAGTTCCATATGTTGCTCATGGGCTACACTGTTGACACACTGTGATAATATTGATATCACACTGGTGTTGGAACACACAGTGTAGCTCCTATACAACATTTGACTTCCTGCTCATCTTCCAGTACACCTAACTGGGATTTGACAAGCGAATCCCTGTCATAAAAATCTAGTGATGATGGCTAATAAATTGGTATGCTTTGGGTTTCTGCCTGTACAGAACTGTTACTGCTGATTCATTCTCAGCAGAACCTTCCATAACTGAAAAGTCTGAGGATCCATTTGGAACAACTTTTTAAGACAATTGTGGTGTGTTTATGGTATATTTACCAACAAAGGTTTTCCTGCAGTTGTTGCCTGTTTCCACTCACATAACAAATATACTTTCAGCAGTCTGTCACTGTGTCTTTTTGTTCCATCTTCACAATCATAACATTCCAATCTTAAATACATGAAATTTGGTGTACTTCATTGATTTAAATGGGTGTGTAACCCTAAAGCCATTTCCCCAATTTGTGTAATTTAGGGACTCTTTGGGTAAAGCCTTGTGTTTTGGTGCGGTAGTCAATTAGACACAATTCCCCACATAGTGGACTGTGGCTTGTAGTGTTGTCTAATTAAAGCAGACCCGATGGATGAATAGAACTCCTTATGTCAGTACTTATGTAAATCCTATTGATTTAGCACATCTTTTTCTAGTGCAGGTGACAATTAGACTTAGCCTTGTGAATTGCATTCTTATCCCATCTGATTCCCATCTGATCTTGGAAGCCAAGTAGGATCAACCCTGGTTAGTCCTTGGAGGTGAGACTGCCAATGAATACCAAGTGCTGTAAGTTAAGAAGAGTGACTGAAATGATCAAACCAAGCCCTATGAGAAAAGGCTGAGCATGTCTAGCTTGGAGGAAAGAAGGCTGAGAGGGGACATTATAGCCATGTTTAAATATTTCAAAGGATGTTATATTGAGGAGGGGACAAGATTATTTTCTGCTGCTCTAGAGACTAGAAAAACAAAGCAATGGATTCAAATTGTAGGAAAAAAAGATTCTATCTAATCATTGGGAAGAACTTCATAGTGGTAAGAGCTGTTTGACCATGGGAAATGCTGTCTCAAAGCATAGTGGAATATCCTTCTCTGAAAGGTTTTAATTGGATCTGTTGGGAGTGCATCGACCTTGTGGTCTCTTCCCACTCTCTGATTTTATGATTCTATGATTTAAAGAAAGGAATTGGTAAAACAAGCATTAAGTATTCCTTACTTAATAAAACCCTATGGAATTCATGGGGTTGCCATAAGTTGACAGGTAACATGAACAATAAGCCACCTTGAGTCACCTTCAGGCTGAGAAAGGCACGACAGAAATACCATAAATAAATAAATAAATATAAATAAATAAGACATACAAATTTGCAAGTCACATCACAGTAGGTGTTATTTATAACTTGTTTTGAACATGATTTTACTAGATGGAGGCAGAGGAAGAAGGCAGTAAAAGGCTAGCAGAAATTGATTTTGAGAAGTTGCCTGCAAACTACCACAATGACTCCCACAGAGATACAAAAATTGGAAATAAAACTATACATACTCACCAAAAAATTGATAAGGTAAGAGCTAGCATTATCAGCTTGTTTATTGTATGCATTACCATTATTGTCCACTTCAGGTTGCTGTGATTTCTTTTATTTTGCATTGTCCTGCAAGATAGTTTGAAAGTTTGGGTTAGCACAACTTTGGGCAACTTTGGCAAGTGTGAAGACCAGGGTTGTTTTCTTCAGGGTCCTCCCTGCAGGGGAGGGGGGTTTTCTCATGGTGGACCAGTAAAATCAAAACAAAACCAAAAGTATTGTCGAAGGCTTTCATGGCTGGAATCACTAAGTTCTTGTGGGGTTTTTTCGGGCTATATGGCCCGAAAACCAAAAGTGTCTGAAGATGAATTCTGGCTTTGAAAAGATGACTTTTTTTTTTACAGAACTTGTGATTTTTATTTAATTATTTAAAAGGTGAATCACCACTTTTGAAATGAAGCAACTCAGTATTGATTGATTGACAGAAAAGGGTGGTTTGACGAAGTTAGCAGGGCCAGGAGCTGAAACAACAGTGATAGAGGATGTACAGTACTTGCTTGGCCCAACTCTGACACTGTCTGCAAAGCTGGCTGCAGCTGCTGTTGTCACTTACAGGGCAATAAAAGACATCATCTTTTGCCAGTCTTCTCTCATTATTGCTTAAGTTTGGCTGTCTGTTGCACAATAAGGCTTTAAAGCGGACATGGGCATGTGTTGAAGGCTGCTTAGGAATTTAGGAATTGTTAGGTGTTAGGAATTGTGGGAGTTGAAGTCCAAACACTTAGAGGGTCCAAGTTTACCCTGGCCTGCTTTAAAAGCTTGAACCAGCATGTTTAGGGGAAGGAAACTGCTACCGATCGGTGTAGCTTTAGACTGGGGAGATATTTTTTACAGTGGAAGTGATTTTTGCATGTCTATATAGGAAATAGTGTGATTTCACTTCTATTTTGCTAGTTTCCAGGTGATTTTAAAAAGCTTTGGGTGGATCTTGAGGGGAAAGGATGCAAATGGCCACATTTATACATGGATTTAGTGTGTTTTGGATGCTTTTTCCATCACCCCAATTTAATGGCCAGGAATCTTAGAAGGAGGGCCCTTGGAGCCAGAAAATGTGTGTTGGAGGCCACATGCAGCCCATGGGCTGAATTTTTCACACCCCAGTTTCAAGTGGTGGGTGAATGCACCTTGTGTGTGTGATTAGTGTGGGATTCATTGATTTAATGAATTTGAAAACAAGCTGCTGTTATGTTAGTATGGGTTCATGGTGCAGCATTTTCAAAAAAAGTTTTGAAGTGAAAAATATTTGCAAATTTAATATGCAAGAACTTATTGTGGAACAAACAAGCAGAAATTCACAATAAAAATCCTATTTTCCACTTGCTACCCAATAAGATTACATTGCTGTTCTCTTCTCAATTTCTGTTGAGATCTGTGTAAACTGGTTCAAGGATGATCTAGCGTACACTTCATAGTTCCCATAGCCTTTCCAACACTCCCATCAAATGCTGAATGGATGATTTGTCTTGTTGTGTTGCTTATTTATTTATGGATGAGTGTTGCTGTTTTTTAAAACACCTTTGTTGGCTACATTTTGAAACAGAATGACTTTTTGGTAATCTTTGTATGTAATGGATTTAATGTACAATTGTATGGTAGTTGTTACAAAGTGAAATAACTATGCATGGAAGTAAAAAAACACAGGACATTGTTTGACTGATATAATTAAAGTCTCTAACTTGCTGTATTATGTTTCTTTGTAATATATTAGGCAACTGATGATAAAACAGGATCTACGAGCTATTCAGAAACAGTTATTACATCAATACAAGAAGGAGATAACAAGAAGAATCATGTAAGTACTGTAATTCCTTTCTCAAAGACAAACAAGGAACAAATAATTTCCAGAGTAAACATTGTTATGCCCTTCCTATGGTTCATGTTTCTCAGTTATCTTGAGAGTTCTGTCCAGTTGGCAGACTACTGCTTAGGCTGTAGGAAGGGCACCATTTTTGTGATTTCTCTGCAGACAGCAGTAGCTCCTAGAAGGGTGGCAGACCCTATGAAGTAGATGAGAACTGATGAAGGAGAATTGGTGATCATCGTCACCTTGCCTTCTTGGTTCACTGGGCAGGCTGTGTTGGACCCCAGTGCTTTCTGGGAAGAGAACCCAATCCATTCATGGAATGGCCTATGTAAGTCCAATTCAGAGAAGCAAGAAATGAGTCTTTAGAACATGTGTTAATTGGTTAATTATTCCTATAGAGATGTGTGTGTGGGGGGGGGGGGCTTAGATAATGAAAGAAGATGGGAGACAGACCCCATACAAGTGTCTTTGAGCTGGATGATATAAGGGTGTCTTTTCCTGATATCATTTCATTTCTAGCCAGGAACTTGACTCTGCTCTTTGAATGAGTACTGGTTATGTCCCTGCTTTCCTGTTCCCTATGTGGAGATGAGAATGGAGGAACAAAACCAGGAGGAAAATTCCTTTTAGGGAATGGATCCTATGGAGTGTGTGAGGAAGAAAAAGAGCCTTTTGGCAGTAGAACAGACTTTCCTAGGTGGAGGTCCTTTGCTGGTTTTTTTTTTTTTTGGTTGTTGTTGTTTTTAATTGGAGGAGCAATGTTTCAAAAGTGCTATCAATGGTGGCTTATGGTCAAAGCAGTGGAGAGGAATGAGAGAAACACCTTAATCCACCATTGCAGCATGTCACTTCTTGCTAGTTAGGACTATAGATATCTGTTGTATGTCAGTAGCATCCAATGTCAGTGGCGTCTTAGAGCAATTAATTTGCTCTGCAAACTGATGGATGCTACCAATGCAAAATGGTGATGGATCAAAGTTAACCCCCATCTCTTAACATTATAAGAAAACAGAGGCAATGCCTCAGCTCTAGCTCTACATCATAAAGAAGTATGCTTCACATTGTAACTTTGGCAACTGCTCAACTGATGTCCTTTTAATCCTCAAGTGAAAATATCTGCTCCTGTTCCCTAGAACAAGAACTGGATTCTGCCAATAATGGCTCAAGAATCCAGCGCTTGGAAGGTGCTGTCTTGATGAGAGGCGCCGTTTACGTACTCAGACTTTCCTTACTCAGATTTCAACTGGGATTCATTGGCACTAACATAGATGTTCGGCTGTCATCCAAGAGCTTTTATAAACAGCTTGTCATCTGAGAGATCTGGAGTGAATGCCCAGCTCAGCAGGCATTCCTTTATCTCAGTCTCCTTGTCTGACCTGTGCCAGAAAGAGTACATAATTTAATGTGAAAATATTTGTATTACATCTTTTTTACTTGCATTAAAATAGTACTTATTTTATTATATAAAATAATAGGTCAATATAGTTATTGCATTCATTATATTTAATTATCTAAATACATTCTGGCTTACCCTGTCTCCTGTGTTCTTTGAATATGCAAATTTTAGTTTGTTCCTCTAATTGTCAATATAGTACAAGCAATTGAAGTTTTGCTTCTGTTCAAAAATGGGCATAGAAGGTTGCTATCACAAGGAAATTTTCCCATGCAATGTTTCCTTCATCTTGCAGAGCTCTTTTTAGGAAGTCTGGGAGCATAACAGTGCCAACTGCATTTTGGGGCAGTTCCCTGACCTCCTGAAGAGGCTCTTGTGGTCAGCTGTGCAGGGGGCAGGGGGTGCTAGGAGGGGCAACCACCAGCTTACTGCTGATTCCAAATTATGACAGCAAGTGTAAACAAAGCTGCTGGAGCCCACTGAAAATGCTGCCACAAAAAATCATCCTAGGCAAGAATAAAATATTTTACAATAAAAATTGTAAAACAGAAGGAATGAAACAAAACAAGAGCACCTTAAAACTAATATATTAAAATAAATTTTAGAAGATGTGCATTTGATAGGGATAATTACTTCATGCAGCTTTGAGAGAGGAAACCAAAAGCCAGAGAATTTGCTGAGATGAGAAGTAGTTTAATAATTAGTTCAGAGTTTCCTTTTTGAACACCAGTCCCCAGGAGCCCTAGCTGAGCTTTGATGGGACTAGTAATCCAGCAACATCTGGAGGGGGTCAGATTCCCCAGACTTGCTTTAACAATTTGTCTTCGAATATGCAGTTCAGCTCTAGATAGAATGTGTGACACTAACCATTGATCATTCTGGTACCTTTTCAGAAAACTATACTAAATGAAATGTTTTACTTAGCAACATTGGCCTGCACAGATGTCGGGCTAAAGTTTGATTAAGCTTAGCCCCAACCTCCAATCCACACTCTCATTGTGCAAGCAAGCTCTTCTGTGATTATTGCTAAAGATCTCTGGCAATACTATTAGTAATAACTATCATTAAGACTACCCAAAGAAATGAGGGACAGTGTAGCTGGGATCTATAAAGACTACCTTAATCTGACCAGATTACCTGTTAGGGAATCAAATCGCATTGAATTATGTATACCTGAGTCTGAAGATTAGGAATAGAAAGGGGATCCTGTTAGTGTACTGTCCATCCTGTTGCCTATCAGAGTATCTGGTTGTACTCATAGAAGTGATCTTGGAGTTGATCTTGGTACTGGGGTCGCTGAGACTTCTTGGATAACTTCAACTTCTCATTCGAGACTAGGGAATTCATGGTATAAGGACTTTCCTTTCACCTGTCTCCAGTTTATGGAATGACTGCTAGAAGAGTTTTGACAACTGAATATGCTGTCTGAATTTAAAAGAACACTGAATACTAGTCTCTTTCACTAGCCTATTCAGATATTTTTGATTTATGGATTTGAAAGAATGAATGTTAGAGTATGGCTTGATTGTTTTAGTATGTATTGGTTTTATGTGCTTTTTACATTGATGTTGCGTTTTTATTGTGGTCATTGTTTTAATTGATATCATGTGCTGTGTTTTATTCTGTTATTGTTCCAGCCTTAAACTATAGGGTGAGATTGGTGCGGATGATGGTTGTTTGTAGTCCTTACCATCATGTATTGGGCTTGTACCTTGATTTTCCATGTTTGGATAGGTAAGAACCTTGTTCAGCCTAAATTTTGGTTATGATTACTATTTTAATAATTAATCCTGAAAAGTATATATGAGTCTGTTCAGGCTGGGAGGAACACAAGGATGGAGTCTGCAATTAGTAGTTAAGCAATAAGGAGCATTAGTGTGTATTCTGGCCTACTATTCCACTTCTCATCTGATCTTATGTTACAGCAACTCAGTTGATTCCAGGTGTGTTCAGTTAAGTTCTTCATACATGTGCAGTTTCATAAGCAATTATATTGAGGTCACTTGGTGCTGGATAGAGGCAAATTGGGGTGTATGCAGATCATCTCACTCTAGCTGTATCACAGCATTTGTATAGGAAAGAAGCACTGCAGAATGGTAGGATTCAGTTGGAACCTTTGGGGGAAAGTTATGCTTTTTAATGTAAATCTGGATAAGATCTTTGAGACCCTTTTCTCCTAAATAGCTGCAAACATATTTTGCAGATGGCCCTTTGAGATTTCTGAATCTTTGAGCCAGTGCTGGCTATTGTCACGAATATGATCCAAAAGAATATACAGTACTGCAATGAACTCAAACTGTACTTACTGCAGAAGTATAGTGGAAAGCACTCTGAGCCGTTTCCTTGTATTTCTACTGTTCCTCAGCTGCAAAATCCCCAAAAATGTCTGCTGCATTTGGAGACATTTCTTTGAGGAATTTATTTTCCCAAGTTTGTGACTTGGTTTGTATCAGTCAGGGAATTGTAGAAACCTTGGCTTATTGGCGATAGTACATTCTGCTCAATCACTTCAGGTCTTGGCGGACAATGTAACTGTTCTTTATTGGAACATATCTAGACACTTTTGTGATGCCTCCACCAGTCAATAAATTAATGTAGAGAGGACGGCTAAAACAAGGGATTTGGGGGGAATTTTGTGTGAAGTTGTTAGAAAATCCTGACAAAAAAGTACTAGCACCATTGTAAGGATGCCAGGTGTTTGTGGTTCCTCTCCCGCACCCCCCAATCCCCAATCATTTATGCTGCATATGAGGCAGCATGTCCCAGAATGCCACAGAGGCCGGGCATACTGCGTGGCATGTCTGAAAATTGCCAGTATTTAATCCAATCCAATCCAAATTGAACTTTGATACAGAACTCAGACATGTAAATTGAGCTCTTATATATGCAAGAGTTACTATCATCTTCAGCTGATCCACCAGCTGCGCCCCTTCCTAGATTTACTTTTTCCAACAAGACCTTCATGTTTTCCCCACAAAATGTTAGCTATTTTGTGCCCTGCAAGAGTTCCTTCACCTCCAAAAGCTGATTTAACAGAGGACGTCTTACATAAGCATGAAATAAGCCCCCTGTTTAAGTTTTTAGTCTGTTTGGTGGTTCCAAAGTCGTTAGGACAAGCACAGTTCCATCACTCCCAAGGTTCATGAGTAAAAAGGATTAAATGGCTTGCTTTTTCTAAATAAGCAAAACAAAACTTTTTTAAAGAATAGATGGCTAAGAATAGCATGTCTCCTCTGAATGAATGCCTGGAGGATGAATGGGCTAGATGAGGAAAAACAAACGGAAGCTGAATCCAGACAAAACAGAGGTGCTTGCCATCAAGGGTCCTAATCTGGGGATGAAGGGTTGTCAATCAGTTCTGTGTGGGTGACACTCCCCCTGAAAGACTGTGTTTGCAGCTTGGGAGTACTTCCCGATCCATCTCTCCAAATGTCAGCCCAGGTATTACACCTATCCTAAAGTCACTCCATTGAGTGCCAGTTAGTTTCCAGGCAAAGTACAAGGTGATGGTTTTGGCCTTTAAAGCCCTAAAAGATCACCTTCCCCCATACCATGTGCCCCACACACTGGCAACCACCACCCAAAGGACCTTTTC